TATATATATATATATATATATATATATATATAATATTATATATTTTTATATTTTTATCGATAACATTATTATCGTAAATATTTTAAGGTTTAATTTGATTTAATATTACATTTTATTTATTATTTCTATTGTACATATTATTATTATTATTATCATTATGTATTTTTTTATTTAACGTATATTTTGCCAAATTTTGTTCAATATTTTTTTATGTGGTAATCATTTATTAGTTTTTTGTTTTTTTTTATTATATTTTTTAAGATATTTATTCTTAACTACTTTCCAAAACACAGCTAACATCTTAAGCAAATTTTTTTTGAAAAGGATGAGCATTTGCTTTGAGTTAAAAAAGAACAGCATAACATGTAGCAGATGAAAGCGATGGGATAGAAAAGAAGAAAAGATCTAGGTTTCTCTGTGTATTTTCAGCTTCCCCTTTGAGACTATCTGAGTTTCAAGAGGTCCTGATAATTGCATTATTATAGAGGCAGAGAAAGTTTAAAAGCAGATCAAATTGCAGTCTGGTCTCCTCAGCTTGCCCTGCTGTTGAAAAGACAGCTGTACTTTAACGAAGTTATAGGGATAAGCAATCGCATAGACAGTAACACAGCATCTGCACTATGTACAGCTGCAAAGATTGCCTTCTGTATCTAAAAGTCACTTATCTGTCATAAACAACAATCTGCAGGATTTGTTTCTCAAATAAACCTGACATATTATGCTACCTAGCCAAAAGAAATATAGCAGAATAATAGAATCACCAACATCACAAGGCCAAAATTTTTTTTTAATAAAGGCATCAATTTTTCTTCTCCTCATCATCTGCTTCAGAAACCCAAGAAAGTTATGAGAAATATTATTTGAGTAGTTTACTAAAATATGTCTGTCAAAGGAGACTTGAATTGCAGCAGTTTGTTAAAATGGCACAATTGCTCGAAGAAGGTTGACTTTCCACTTTAGGAAACATGCTGGAAGTTAATGATGTCTTTCGGGAATGAACAGTGTTCTTGGCCAAACAGACACACAGATCTGAGCAGTAATTAAAGTGATGGGAGTCATTCTGGCGCCGTCATGATTGTTAATGGAGTTAACTTCAGCACTCAATGACTCTCTGTTTACTTCACTTGTTTACTGTCTAACTCTGCAATGATGAAAAACTGACTGATAAAACATCCATGAACTTGTTTCATTTCCCACAGGCCTCCAAACTGCAGCAATGTAACAGGGAAAAACAATTCAAATGAATCTTTAAAGTGCTCAGCCGAATAATGTTCCACAAAATTGCTCCACTGGTACTTGCTTATAATGCCTGGCTATCCTACTGATAAAAATTGCTTTCTTATAAATTAGAAATAATTTTCCTCAGTAGATTTATTGACAGGAAGAAAAAAAAATCATGGGTTGTTCACATAAATCACAAGAATTTATTTTAATAATTAATTTAATATTAAAACCTAATGGAATCTTTATAATGTGCATATTTTATATTTTATTGTAATACTTTATTATTAATATGTTACCGTATTTTATATTGCACACATAACATATTTTAATTTAATTAATGTTAATTTAATATTCAAACTTATTTTAATATTTATATTGTGCATATTCTATATTTTGTATTTCCCTTATATTGTACATATTCTACCATTTAATTTATTATTTAATATTGAAACTTAATTTTATATTTTTACTGTGCATACTCTATATTTTAATTTAATTTCATGTTAATTTAATATTAAAACTTAATTTAATATTTGTATTGTGCATATTTTACATTTTAATTGATTACTTAATTTACTAACATTTAATTTAATATTAAAATTGTATATAATATATTTTTGTATATTTTTATTTGATCTTTTATTATATTTTTATACATTCTTTAAAAATATTTTCATAATTTAATTGTTAATTTAATTTAATTTAATCAATATTTGACACCAAAGTGGATTGAATGCAATAAATAAACACAATAATAGTTTTGCATTAAATCCACTTTGGTGTCAAATATTGAGTGAATAAAAAAACCCAGACTGACATTACTTTTGTTTAATTTGAAGTCTAGTGCATTGCATTGTGGGATACAGTATTTGTCAAATGTAGCAGAAAATCCAGGTTCTACATGTGTACGAAAAATCAGCATACTATCAAAAACATACAAACTGCAGTATTATAGTAGTATGCTATATTTCAAACACAGCCATGGCAATGACTGACATCATTTCCTATTGTGTGCTGTGCCCCATACAGCAACCCCACAGCATCGTTCAGCGCCGTCTCCTGGAGGGCAACATTTCACGTTTGCGTGGAGAGGCCCGGGACGTCCCATCTCATGTTCGCTCACCCCTGGCAGACAGCAAAGAGGGCGGCGAGCCAGAGGAGAGGAGCGAGAGCACGGTGGATGACTCCACAGAAGAGAGGGAGTCTCCAGAGGAGAGCGAGAAGAGCCTGAGGTCTGATGAGGACGAGGATGATGAAGATGAAGGGGACAGCAGCGATGCAGGTGGAAAGACAGAGTCCAAGCAGAAAAATGAAATGGAAGAGGAGAGGAAGAAAGTCCTCAAAGAGGATGAGAGAGCATCCACCCTCTCAGCTCTAGTGGTCCAGTGTAAGGTAGGCATTCTGAGCTCTCTTCAGCATTTCTCAGCTGTCTGTGCCCATAATAGAAGCGATAACAGCTTGCCGTAATGACAAAACATGAGCTCTGGCTCCCTATGACTCATGGTTTTATTTTCCTCGCAGTCGATTGTTCTCGCCGCTCAGGTTTGAGAGGGTTTTAGAGAGCCAGTATGCATCTAAAAAGCCCAAATCAGCGAAGCACCTCATGCCAAGTTTACAATCCAGATGATGTAACTGGGGTGCAAGTGACTCATTGTATGGTGATATAACATCGATCTGACCCATCATTTTCAAAGCTTCAGCAACTTTAACATAAGACACAGGAAACATTCAAAAGTCCGGGTTGATTAGATATGTAATGTTTTTGAAAGAAGTCTCTTATGCTCATTAAGGCATTTTTAAAATCAAAAATACAGTAAAATCTGTCATATTGTGAATTTTTTATTACAATTTAAAATAGATGAGTACTATTTGAATATATTGTAAAATTTTATATTATTATTTTTATTGTACTCCAGTCTTCAATGTCACATTATCCTTCAGAAATTATTCTAATATGTTGATTTGCAGCTCTAAATAAATAAATAAATACAATTTTATAATCAAATCAGAAAACAATTGTGCTGCTTAATACATCTGTGGAAACAACCCTTTTTTCAGGTTTATTTGATGAATAGAAACTTCAAAAGAACAGCATTTATTTAAAACAGAAATCTTTTGAAACATTGTGAATGTCTACTTCACATTTCATCAATTTATTGTGTCCTTGTCAAATAAAAACATAAAGTATTATTGACCCCAAACTTTTGAATGGTATTTGAGAGGAATAAGACTGGCTAATTCATTTCAATGACTTCTCCAGCTGTTCAAAGTTACTGAACTATGTTTTTTAATTTGATTTTATTACTATTTTTACGTATTTCTCCATTTGTCTGAGGTTCCTGAACAAATGTTGTTGTTTTTTTTTTAATAGCTAAAAAAACTTTTAATTTTTAAATTCTTTTAAATTCCATGACTTCTACAAATGTTCAAGGCTACTAACCAATAATTTTTTTAATGATAATTTTTTCAAATCATTACTTTAGGCCTGGAAATAACACTTTTAAATTTCCCTTATATTTCAAGGTTTTCCAGAACCATTCATTTCCAGCGTTCTCGGTTTAACTAGAGCAGACTGAACATCATCAAAATCACCCATCTTGCGAGACCCGTCTCCATTACTCTCCATTCATTCAGTGATTGAGTGTGGTAAAAATAGACCCTAAATTAAAGTAGATTAAACCACAGAGTTGGGTGTGAATTTCCTCAGCCTACACGTGTCAGCCGACAATTCAAGAACAACCAGACAAATAAATGGAACACTGATCTCAAATTATGAAATGGAGAAAATATGTTTCCTGATGTGATGCAATGTTAGCTTGTCCAGCTCACAGCAAGTTAATAACGAAGGCAAAATGCATAGTTAGCAGAATTTAATTTGTGATTATGACCAGCTGACTGTAGTTTATTTAACTTAAAAGAAGTTGTATTCTTTTTTTAATTAACTGATTTGAAATTAAGATTAAATTCATTAACATGAGTTAATGCCTTGGGTATCATGAATTAAAAAGAAACAATTTTACAGCATAAATTAACCTAGGTTAACGTTAATTTCTACAAATACAAATACAAATACAGTTTTAACATGTAGTGGTATAAATGTGATGTATAATGAACAAACATGAATAAATAATAGTATATTTTAAAATGAACATTAACCAATATTAATAAACAATGTAAAAAAAATAGTTTGATTGTATGATACCTAGTGTTAAAAACTGAACCCTAATGAATAATATTATACAATTATTATGTGAGAAGAAAGAGACCATAAAGAGATACAAGAGACATTAAACTAGCATAACTATACAAAGGAAAGCTACTGCCGGAAACAATGTTACTATACAACAAATATTTAGCCATAATTAAGTAAAAGCTGTGTGATAAGACTCAGATTTAAGTTAAATGAATGAAAAATTGTCATCTGAATTTCAAATGAACGGAATGTTCTGGAATACCAGCCTGGTCTCATGTTTATACGTAGGTATAAATACGTAACATTTACAAGCACAAAACGTACACTTTTGTACGTTTTTATTCATGCTAAAACGTACAATTTAGACGTATTTCAACGTTTAAAACGTACAAATCGCTACGTATTTTTAGCTAAAAAACGTAAAAATATTTATGTATCTTTTATATCATTTAGATATTCATATCAATGCATTTTTATCATTTTATTAATAAGCGATTTCGATTTTTAGACCCCTTAACCTGCCCCCAAACATAAACCTACCCATTTTATAGCGAATATGCATTTTTATCATTTTATAAATACGCAATTTAGATTTTTTAGACCCCTTAACCTGCCCCCAAACCTAAACCTACCCAATTTATAGCGAATATGCATTTTTATCATTTTATTAATACGCAATTTAGATTTATTAGACCCCTTAACCTGCCCCCAAACCTAAACCTACCCATTTTATAGCGAATATGCATTTTTATCATTTTATAAATACGCAATTTAGATTTTTAGACCCCTTAACCTGCCCCCAAACCTAAACCTACCCATTTTATAGCGAATATGCATTTTTATCATTTTATAAATACGCAATTTAGATTTTTAGACCCCTTAACCTGCCCCCAAACCTAAACCTACCCATTTTATAGCGAATATGGTCGTGTTATCATAGGTGAGCTGAAAGATGGAAAGAAACCATCAGCATCTAATTAAATCTTCGATAATGAAGAGCCAGATAAGTGTGGCAGCGGTTTACATAGCAAATCCACCGTAGCGGTTCATGCCTCCTCTTCTGGAAAGATAAGTTTCACTTTGAGGCAGATAAGTCATGCACGATTTTGCTCCACGCAGAGCTGCCATTATTATAAATGTATCACACACGCACCAGTGCACCCATATACACAGATATGTAATAGCAGCAATCAAATAAAGACATAAGACAACTCAAAAAAGAAGTATCTCACAGAGCTCAACTGTTTTTATAGCGTCAGCAGGAGTTTATTTCAGCAGGATTTTGTTTCATATTTATTCTGCAATTTAAATGAAAAAAATAACCATTAAAGAAACTAATTTCTTTACCCAAAAGAATAGCTCACCCAAAAATGAAAATGTACTTAACCTCAGGTCATCTGAGATGTTAAAGAGTATCATTGGAACAGATATCATTACTGTTACAAATGTATCATTAGATCACTTGTTCACCAATGGATCCTCTGCAGTGAATGGGTGCCGTCAGAATGAGAGTCCAAACAGAAGATAATAACACCACAATAATCCATGTAATTCACCAAGTAATTCACAAGACTCCAGTCCATCAATTAACATCTTGTGAAGCAAAAAGCTGCGTGTTCATAAGGCACAATTCAGTTATTAAGGCATTTAACTTTAAACTGTTGCTTCTGTCCAAATTACCAATCCATAATTAATAAAAATGCTTCCTCTAGTGAAAAAGTCCATCCTCTGTCCGTCCTCTCATATCAAAATCATATTTGTTTAGAACTGTTTCCGCTTGTAAACAGTGCTTGATCTGTGCATATTTCTCTCCTGATTCAGACAAGATAGCCTTTTCACTGGAGAAAGCAATATTAGCACATTTATTTTAGCAGGGAGCAACTGTTCAAACTTAAAAACGTCTTGATGTATTTGTTTGTTACAAACATGCAGCTTTTCACTTCACCAGATGTTCATTGATGGACTGGAGTTGTGTGGATTATTTTGTTGCCTATATCAGAAATGTCATTCTGACGGCATCCATTCACTGCAGATGATTTATTGGTGAACAAGTGATGTAATGCTAAATTTCTCTAAATCTGGTCCCATGAAGAAACAAACTCATCTACATCTTGCATTGTCAGGGTGAGGCCAATTTTCATTTTTCTTTCATTTTTATATCCTGACCACTAGGTGCAGGGGAAGAAGACACTGAGAAAGTCACATAGTCACAGCTAGAATGAACCTGACAGATATTTGTCTGAGAGTTTGTATCATCTGGCGCTTTGCCACCTCAATGTGTTTATGTGGACGTGTTTCATTCAAGGTGTCTCGCACAGCAACAAAAACACTTGCAACACAGTAGCAAAACCTAGCAGAGGAAGGAACAAGTGTGAAACAATGCAAGGAAACCTGCGTGTCTGTGTAAGTGTGTGTGGAACATACTAGCGGGGCCGGAACAATGTGTGAGAGGGGCTTAACGGTCCCCCATGTTTGCTCACTGAGAGACTGACGCTCTGGTGCGTCCCACCCTTTATGTGGTAGGAAAGTTGTGGGGGTGACGGCTCACCTTGAGTGACAGGAAACTCAAAGAGGTTGCAACAAAGCTCTCATCCACTTATTAATCTTGAACGGTAGGACAGTGCTGACGCAGACCTCATCCCTCACTCATTAAATGTGTCGTTAGAAAACAGGCAAAGAGCAAAACCAAAGCTTGACACCGCTTTAGCTGTGTGTAGGTGGAGCCATATTGTCTTTAAGTCCTCATGCATGCTGAGAGACCATATGCCACGAACAGGTTCCAAATCCCTCTAAATATCTCAGCTGAGGCTTCCTTCCAGGCTCCCACCACACTAATTAACTATACTAATACTAATATTAATACTTATACTAATTATTATTATTATTGTTGTTGTTACTATTATTATTATGCAATGAATAATGTATTATTAATTAAATATTAAACTTATTCATCATTAATATTATTACAAAACTCTCTAAAATACTTAATTCCAGATCCAGATCAAGATGAAATATTTTTGTTAATGGCCATATTTATCAAGGGCACATTTACTTGAAAGGATGTCATTATTATTATAATTATTACATTATTAAATATTAAGTTAAATTGTACATCATTTTATGTGCAATTAAGATTGTAACAGCGTTGACACAACTTTAGGTGTTTTTTATAAAATTATACTTCCACTACAACTTAAATATACAAACTTTTACAAAAATACAAATACTTTTAGAGAGAATGAAACTTTTATATCATTTTTTTCAAACTATTTTTTAATCAAAAATAATGTGCATATTTTTTAAACATAATATGCATATTTGCAAAGACACAGGCCAATAAAAAAGCAGAAAAAATTGTGTTTTGTTTGCTGATCTACTAAGAAAAATTATTATTATTATTATTATTATTATTTTTATTATTACAATGCTCTCTGAAATACTTCAGAGAATTAAATATTTTTGTTAATGGCCATATTTACTGTACAAATTTAAGGGCCAATTTACTTGAAAGAATGCCATTATTATTATAATTATTAAACTAAATTGTACATAATTTTTAATAGGGAATTATGATTGTAACAGCATTGACACAACTTTTTTAATTTTTAAAGAAATTCTATTTCCACTACAATACAAAATATACTAACTTTATAAAGGCCATGAGAGAATAACATTTATATATATATATATATATTAAACAAAATGTGCATTTTTGCTCATTGGAAGTAAGAAAAGAAATCGAAATAAATAAAAATCAAACAAACAAAAACAAAAATACCATTTACATTTTTTCCTCAATTTTTGCTGATCTACAATGAAAAATGTCACAAATAACACATATTAATAGCTAGAGTCAGCTACTGTATTCACTGCTGTCACTGTTTACACCAATGTTAATGTGTATGACCCAAAACATGTGACAGGATCCATCAGAAGACAAGCTGATGGCTAATGAGTTAAAAAACAACCCACTGATTCTGCTAATACCGAACAAATTATTTACACATAAATGTCAAGCAAGCAGCATGAACAGGCACTCAGAGCTTCCAAAGAGCAAATGCTGCAAAAGCACAGGGTCATTATTCATCTGACAAGCTCTGAATTCTGCAAGCACTGATGGAATTTCAGGTGAAAGGACAGACTGAGAATAAAACGACGAGTACTTTTGACAGTGACGGTCCATTATTAACCAGAACTATTATCCTCAGACGGTATTAAACTATCAATCCTGATACTGTCAGACAATGCAAAAACAAAGCCTGCCACTGTCTATTTAAAAGACCAAAAGCTTATATCTGTGCTTCAACATACTGTAGTGTCTCAACTTGGCATCTGTGTGAAACTAGTTGGCAGGCTGTGCTATGTTGTTAGACTCTGCCTGATAATGTGGTCTGCTATTAAAAATTCCTGTCACATAAAAGGTGTGGAAAAGGCATCATAAGGGGAAAAAAAGATTTTATCAGGGAATTCATCTGAGTAAAGACCAAATGTTTATTTTGCAGTGCGGAGATGCAGAAGTGATGTTATCCATAAACACAGGGTGCCAATACAACCACATCTCTAAAACATGCTGCAGACGACTTGGGTAAGTGTATTCTACTCACTCACACACACACACACACACACACACACACACACACACACACACACACACACACACAACATAGACACACACACACACACACACACACACACACACACACACACACACACAAGATAAACAGTTCCATCAGAATTTTATGGGCCTATTTTTTTTAAATTCTGTAGCCCAAAATGACTGAATTTGCTCAGAAATTGTGTTATTTTTGTTGTTTTGCAGTGAAAACCCACCAATCATTATCCATTTAAGTCATTTGTTTTAATGAAACTGATCGTAGTTAACTGTAAATATTTTTTATCCATAGTTACTGAAATCAACTGAACTAACTAAAAAATGTTCAATGAACTTGATTTCTATTTAATAAAAAAAGTCTCTTAAGCCCACCATGGATGCATTTATTTGATTAAAAAATGCAGTAGAACAGTAATATCGGGACATATTTTTATGATTTAAAATAACTGTTTTATACTGGAATATATTGTAAAATTGAAATTTCAGCAGCCATTACTCCAGTATTCAGTGCCACATGCTACTTCAGAAATCATTCTAATGTGCTCATTTGGTCCTCAAGAAACATTTATTATTATTATTGATATTGCAATGTTACAAAAGATAACACCTGTATTTTCTGCAGATTGAAAACCAACCTTGAAGACAAACTTCATGACAAGCTGCCACTCAGTGATTTGACAGTGGAGACAGTGAAGTCCCTGCACCTGCAGCTGGGCAGAGAAAGAGTGCAATGCACTGCCCAGGTCATAGGTCAGACTTCAAAGTTTCTCCAGTCACTTCTGAAAATGCACTGCCTATTGCTTTTTTAACAACAGCTCAAAACAACATACACATACAATGATTACACCATGTTTCATAGATTGGATTGAACTGAGAATAGCTGCGAGACATCCAGGACATTCATACTCACAGAACCGGTTTCAACCATGTCATGTCTAAATACAAGTTCAATGCAAACAGAAAAGTCTTATGAGAGTGCAAAAATGGGTATTCATATGCATTTCTTCAGCTTGTATTTGCATTCAACTTTCAGACTGAGCCACTGACCTTTTCCAATTCAGACAGCAGTCTGGGAATGCTTGGACAAAGTGACGTGGGCGACACAGAGGAATTACATAACAGACGAGTACATGACCTGGGCACAGTGCCGCCCATGTTTCCTGCATGCATTGCATACAGATATATTATAAAGCTACTAATGATGGCAGTTTTTTAATCAAGCCTCCTCATGTGCTCTACTAATTAGAGAAAGAATAAAATTATGCCTAAAGGGGATTCATATTCTCTCTTTGTCTCCCACATTTTGAGTCTCATCTCTTGTCTGTTCACAGAGGACGCCACATTTGAGGTGTGTCTGGGTCTACAGACTCTGCTGGAACTCAAAGTAAGCGCTGGTTTTATTTAACCTAATTTTCAGAGTCTTGTAATGCATGGTTTCTAACCTACTAGACTTTGGCTTTTGAAAGTTTTGCATTTTCAGTTTGAGCTTAAAATGCATGGATAAAAGTATTTTTGAAAACCACTTGCTTCAAATTGTGTTGGTCATCTAGATCAGATGTTTTTGAACTTTTTAATGCCACTGAATCTCAAATAAGACGGTTCCCTTGAGTGTATTTTCATGTATAAGAACCATTTTATACTGTAAAATGTACATTAAAATATTACTATATATATATATAAATATTATAAATGTGTGGAATATTCACCCCCTCATTGGCTGAGTGGCATAAACTATGAGTTTCATATATTTGTTTTCATATTTTCAACATATTTTGTTATTATTAATGAATAATAATTGGCAATAATATATACAGTGGGGAAAAAAAGTATTTAGTCAGCCACCAATTGTGCAAGTTCTCCCACTTAAAAAGATGAGAGAGGCCTGTAATTTTCATCATAGGTATACCTCAACTATGAGAGACAAAATGAGAAAAAAAATCCAGAAAATCACATTGTAGGAATATTTAATACTTTTTTTCAACTTCTTTCTTTGTCCCCAGTCTGAAAACCCCTGATCTAGATCACATCTTCAAAAATATAAATTTCAATAATAAATGCAAATTTATAGTTTAATTGTCTAATTTATAATAATTTGCCAGTTTCAAAGATATTTACATTTATTTACATCAATTAGCAAAATGACTTATTTGATCTAAAGGGACCTGAAGCACATTCAAAGTATCAGTTTTATCAGTAAATCAAAGCTGAAGCCTTTAAGACATAACATGAAGTAAATCGAATTATGAAACAAGCAGCAAAGAAGTTCTGAGGCTATGTTAGATGGTTTCTGACACTAAGTGGGTTTGTACATGATGGGGGTTATTTTTTTGAGCAAATATCTAAATATTGAATCAGCTCTGAATGTGGTTTGAGATTATTTCAAATGCCGGGGGGGAAATTCCTCTTTGAGGTTTACATGTGTTATGAGGAGGAAGCTAAATGCTATTAAAAGAAGAGAAAATCTTTTTTAAAGTATGGATAGAGTGAGGGGATGAGAGAGAGAAAGCTAGAGAATGAAAGTGCGAGGACAGTATCTGTACAAGTATATGCAAATTTGTATTCTTGTCATAAGAAAAGATAATGTATGCAAGGAGAAGGATCCACAAAAACTAGCGCAGGCCTATGTGCAGAATAAGAAGAATAATATGTTTCATCCACTCTTGTTTACCTGTAATATAGAAGAGCCCCTGTTTCAGACATGTACACCAACAATTTTGTTCTACAAAGGCACAATACAGTAATTATGCTTTAACAGAAGCTGTGACCGAAATCAGGTCTTTAGACTATGATCTGTCCTGTGACATACAGGTTTGGTTCAACTGTCATCAGCTGAACCAAATCATCAGATTCATAGAAGCGAGACTGAAAAATGTTATCAAATAAATCAAAATTGAATATACAAAGTCACTGTTCTCAGTTCCAGTGTTGCCATAGTTACGGTGTCTTGAAACGACTTGGCTCATAATTTTTCTTATCAAAAATCTTAAAAAGGAAAGTTCATCAAGACAAACTTTGATGTTTACAAGATTACAATAGTTTTAAAAGCTTAAAAGATTATAGCTGATTTATGCAGATCTGACAGACAGACAGACAGACAGAGAGAAAGAGATTTGCAGGGTTGCTAGGCAGTTGCATGGGTGTTCTAACTGGGTGATTGGCAGTTGCTAAGATGTTGGTTGTTAGGGTATTTCTAAGTGGCTGTTAAGGTGTAAGTGGTTGCTAGGGCAGATTCAGACAGATAGACATTTAGACAGAATGACAGACTGAAATATAGACAGTATTATTAAGAGAACGACAGAACAATCGAACGATAGAACCATAGATAGGACAACAGATAGAATGATAGAACAATAGATAAAACGATAGATAGAATGATAGAACAACAGACAGACAGACAGACAGACAGATAGATAGATAGATATATAGAGCAACAGGCAGGCAGATAGATAAATATATAGACAGACAGATATAGATAGATAGACAGACAGACAGACAGATAGACAGACAGATAGATAGAAAAACAGACAGATAGATAGATAGATAGATAGATAGATAGGTAGATAGATAGATAGATAGATAGATAGATAGAGCAAGACAGACAGACAGACAGACAGACAGAGAGACAGACAGACAGATAGAGCAACAGACAGACAGACAGACAGACAGACAGACAGACAGATAGATAGATAGATAGATAGATAGATAGAGATAGATAGATAGATAGATAGAGCAACAGATAGACAGATAGACAGACAGACAGACAGACAGTCACATATAGATAGAGCAACAGACAGACAGACAGATAGATAAATAGATAGATAGATAGATAGACTAACAGACATAGATAGATAGATAGATAGATAGGTAGATAGAGCAACAGACAGATATAGATAGATAGATAGACAGAGATAGATAGATAGATAGATAGAGCAACAGATAGACAGATAGACAGACAGACAGACAGACAGTCACATATAGATAGAGCAACAGACAGACAGACAGATAGATAAATAGATAGATAGATAGATAGACTCATATAATAGACTGGATGTGATACAGTGATCTGCTCTCTCTTGCAGTGCTGTGTGGACCTGAACTCCAGAGTGCTCCGGCTCCACAGCACAGAGCAGGAGCTTCCCTTCCTGGATCCACCTGCTTGCAGCCAGTGCCATCACCATGACAACAACAAAAACATGTGACCTCGGACCTACGTGCCCAATAGACGCCATGACCGTACCCATGTAATCAGAGAGGAAGTCGCCAGAAGGACGCCTGCATCTGGACTGTAGTGTTCCCTTGTGCCAGATCAACATAGACAGGCCTCTCCTCTCTCATCTTTCCTTCTTTATTCTTCGTTGTTTGCTTCTGTGCTATTACAGAAATCTGCCAACTATGATTTTATATTATTATTTGCTGTGCTGAATTAGTTTTGATTAAATGTAATAAAGCTCAGGAGGAGGAAGATTGTGTTCTGACATTTTAAAACTGCCTTCATCGAAATGAAAAATGGGGTGCACAGCTAATCCTTAAGAAATTGAACTGCTTGAAGATTGATGAGTAATATTCTCTAACTTGTGATTTTAATTACAATCAAAGTAAATTATATTCTTATACATTAATGTAACAGAGAGTCTCCTACACAATCACCAAAACTGATTTTATACTTTTAAATGTAAAAAAAAAAAAAATTCCGAGTATGGGTCACCATACTTGGCCACATGACACGTCACTCACTTTTTACTATTATAATAACAATAAATTATGCATAATTACATGCAAGTAACCCTAAACCAAACCCTAATCCTAACCCCACCCATATGGTAAGTACATGTAGTTAATTAATATTACTCAATACTTAAATGTATATGCACAATGTGTAACAAGGACAACTTAAAATAAAGTGTAAGCCAAAATTCTTGTGTACCACCCTAAAAGGAATCAAACTTTAGTAACATGCTGATTTATTCACTGAATCAATAGACAAGATACTTTTTGTATGGCTGTTATTTCAAATGTAAACAGGAAATTACATAGGGAATGCAGCAGATGTATGAGACTAAGAGGCAGGGAATGAGCTTCCTTACAGCACACAGGTGGGGTCAGGGGTCAAGCTTTGATTGACACCTTGATAGAAAACCACAGAAATAAACAGAACAGTGCCAGCCCCTTCTCAACACCAATCCCATCCATTGCCGAGCTCTCCCCGCAGGGATCGGGAAAAATCCGCCTCGAATGTGCAGGTGGAAAGAGAAGCATTGATTAGAGGAAAAGACTCGCATGCACGGCATGCTGGACACCAGATTTGCAAGTCCAACATGAAGCGAAGGAGGAATAAGAAGGAAAGGGCATCTTCCTGTCCATAATGAACACCGCTAAGAGATTGGAGTTTTCACAGAATCACAGCGGAAGGATCACAGCGGTGTTTAATATCAAGATCTAATGAGCTTTGCACCTCTAACGGCACAAGCAACGGAGGAAAGCATTAAACAGCAACCCTGCTGCCAGCGGGATAAACATAGGGGCTTATTAAAACTGCCATTTGTGTTTCCATCGACAGGAGCACCTCTGAGGGGGCTGATGAGATGATAGAATGAGGGACTATTAGGACCAGCGCTAGAGGAGTTAAGTGTCCATTAAGAAAATTGCAGGAAACAGAGAACGAAGAGGCCGGCGTGTGGAGCCTCTTGAAGATATCGCCTCGCTGTCAATCAACGGGCTGGAATCCCAATCTGTCTCGCACGGATGCAAGGGAGGAAGACAGATGCTGGCATTAGTTACAGGGATTTGGAGAGGCATAATCTTTCATGATTCAATACCTTCCCACCACGATCAGAAGTGACTGGGTTAGAAGAGGCCAGTGGCTTTACACATTTAAAGTAAATGACCCTGATGTGAACAAAATAAGAATAGGAGGGTTAAGACAAGATGACTTTGGACCACTCTGCCAAAGCTGATATTGTGCAAGATGCACTTGATTAACATAATCCTGGGTTACCTGGTTTCATTTTTCTGGGTATATTTTATAAGGTTAATAACAAGAACAGCACGTGAGCAGCAAGTAACATGTTTTAGTAAGTGCTTGTTCATTTGTACCAATACTCTTCACCTCTTCTGCGGCTCTCAAATCAAATACTGTATAATGCAGGTTTGACGGCATTATGATTAGTTACACGAACCAGTGATATTTGTTTGATGTTTAATGATGATACTGATGTCCAACCTGAAGAATAAGCTTGATTTGAGCATAATTTGATTTGAGAGATGCAACAGAAGTAACAATAAGTGACTTATCTGGGGGTTTTTCACTGAAATGTCTGTCTACTCCTCACACAAAGCTTTGGTATGGCTTCAGAATACCTGTAAAATAGAGCAAACCCTGTGACTATGACCTCACAATTATAAATAGAATGGTTTTAAGATGATGGGTTACTATTTGTCTAATTCAGAGTTCATAAGTTTTGATAATGCCAGTGTTTTTACCCCAGACTACATGATCCTTCAGAAATCAGTCCAATATGCTTATTTCGTGCTCAAGAAAACGTCTTATTATTATCAAAGTTTAAAACAGTTGTGCGGTTTAATATTTTGATCACACTTTATTTTAAGGTCTAATACTCGCTATTAACAAACCATTAACTATTTGCCTCAGTAAACTCCTAATTTTCTGCTTATTAATAGTAAGTAAGGTAGCTGTTAATTTTAGGTATTGGGTAGGATTAGGGATGTAGAATATGGTCATGCAGAATATGTGCTTTATAATACTAATAAACAGCCAATATATTAATAATAGGCATGTTAATAAGCAACTAGTAGATAGTGAGAATTGGTCCCTATACTAAAGTGTTACCAATATTTTGGTGGAAACCATGATGACTAGAATAGAATTTGAGATTGATGAATAGAATTTAAAATAGTAATCTTTTGTAACAGTATAAATGTCTTTACTGTCATTTTTGATCAATTCAAATGCCCTTGCTGAACAAAAGTATTTTCAAACAGTAGTGTATACACACTTTCAGTTAAAGGGGTCATCGGATGCCCATTTTCCTCAAGTTGATATGATTCTTTAGGGTCTTAATGAAAAATCTATAACATACTTTGGTTAAAATTTCTCAATGGTAGTGTAAAAAACACCCTTTTTACCCTGTCAAAATTAGCTCCGTTTTCAGCACGCGGTTCTAGTCCATGTTGCTTTAAATGCTAATGAGCTCTGCTGACCCCGCCCCTCTCTTCCGTGGGTGACGAGCCGTTCTCATGATACTGTTTACTTTAGCTACGGAACTTGCTAACTAGCACGTTATTAGGAAAGGCGATTTGCAAAGATTCATAAAAAACCCTTATACTCACTTCATCTGTAGGTGAAGCTGGATCACGAATGATTCGCGCGAATATAGATGCATTTAGGCAGATCGGGGGTCAGCGCATTTACTTCAAAACGAAAGTAACGTTAATCCTCTGCGTCTTCAGCGGCTCAGATGTCTGGAGTAAACAAAATTATTACATCCAACAACAAAACACCTCAATCGCTTAATCGGAGACATTCTTGTCTTCCCCTGCACCGGAGTCGACACAATGGCGGACTGATGACAGCTCACTCAGGGCAGGTCTAAAGTAAGACACCAGTTCAGTCTGTGCTGAAACGCTACTGTTCATCAAACTATCGTGGGAGGGGCCTGTACAGAACTACATCATTCTGACAGGAATCTCAGAACAGCCTGATTTGAGAAAGGTGATTTTAAAATAGGGATTTAAAAAAAACCACTGGGTGGATTTTTATCATTATTGGGTGGATGTGTACACACACTTCCAACACACATTTATGTTCAAACAACAACAAAAGTGAATTTTGCATCCGATGACCCAAATGATGTAATTCTACATTGGCAATATAAACCCAAAAATTAAAGAGCCCATTTGCATTCCTCATTTCATTTCAAGTAGATAAAACTGTAATAAATGAGCATGTGCATGCCGATGAGTCATACGACGCAGCAAAATTTAAATTATGTACAATCAATTACATAACATGAGTCACATTCAAGCACCACAGACAGTAGACGTTCATTGATGCAATTAACCTTGATGTATTACAAACAGCATCAGCATGAACACAAACACATGAAGACACACTCGCACCTACACAAGTCCTTTTTAGTATGTGCAGATAGGCCAACGGGCCTCTGGAGAGCTTGGCTCCTGGCTGTCAGTTGCCATAGTCTCCAACTCAGCTGACAGAATGATTCGCGCGAATATAGATGCATTTAGGCAGATCGGGGGTCAGCGCATTCACTTCAAAACGAAAGTAACGTTAATCCTCTGCGTCTTCAGCGGCTCAGATGTCTGGAGTAAACAAAATTATTACATCCAACAACAAAACACCTCAATCGCTTAATCGGAGACATTCTTGTCTTCCCCTGCACCGGAGTCGACACAATGGCGGACTGATGACAGCTCACTCAGGGCAGGTCTAAAGTAAGACACCAGTTCAGTCTGTGCTGAAACGCTACTGTTCATCAAACTATCGTGGGAGGGGCCTGTACAGAACTACATCATTCTGACAGGAATCTCAGAACAGCCTGATTTGAGAAAGGTGATTTTAAAATAGGGATTTAAAAAAAACCACTGGGTGGATTTTTATCATTATTGGGTGGATGTGTACACACACTTCCAACACACATTTATGTTCAAACAACAACAAAAGTGAATTTTGCATCCGATGACCCAAATGATGTAATTCTACATTGGCAATATAAACCCAAAAATTAAAGAGCCCATTTGCATTCCTCATTTCATTTCAAGTAGATAAAACTGTAATAAATGAGCATGTGCATGCCGATGAGTCATACGACGCAGCAAAATTTAAATTATGTACAATCAATTACATAACATGAGTCACATTCAAGCACCACAGACAGTAGACGTTCATTGATGCAATTAACCTTGATGTATTACAAACAGCATCAGCATGAACACAAACACATGAAGACACACTCGCACCTACACAAGTCCTTTTTAGTATGTGCAGATAGGCCAACGGGCCTCTGGAGAGCTTGGCTCCTGGCTGTCAGTTGCCATAGTCTCCAACTCAGCTGACAAACCTGGACTGCTTCCTCTAGCTTTAACCAAATCTGCCACACCATTCTGGAGACCAGTGAGAAGAAAGCACACCTCTTTTTTACTCTTTTCCAGGAGCTTCCCCAGGTGCATTCATTTCATCTTCGCAAAATAGTCTTCTCAGACCCCTTTTGGCCCACTCAAACGGTTTTGAAATGAAAGCAAATTGTGCTGTGCCCTGAAAAATTGAAAAGATGTGTACGTGGCACAAGAGTCTCTTGAACCTCTGTGGTGGAATTCACATAAAAACACTTTCAAAAGAACAGCATCTGGCACAGTCTGAGGGGTTTTGACTACATTTTCCAAAGGAATTTTTTTTTTACAAAAGATGTTATTATGGCAGCACCTTTCAAAAGGTACTAATATGCTCCATTTAGGTATTAATATTTACACTTTAGGTACTAATACGTACCTTTAAGGTATCAGTATGCACCCTTTAGAGTAAATAAGGTACAAACGTTTAACTTTTGAAAAGGTACAGCACAAGTGACAGCTTTTGTACCTTTTTTTCTGAAAGTGAATATGACGTTGAGCTCATTGGTATTTGCCAATATTATTAT